CCATAACCAAAAAAATTAATAATAATAATTACCATCAAACTCTAATATTTAAAAAAAAACTAATGGTTGTTTTAATTCATTTTTTTTAAACGTAATACTTTATTTACACCAATAGAAAAAACTTAAGGGGTGTTTGGTAGAGTATCAAGTAATAATTAATGAGAATGAAAATAAAAAAAACTTTTTGATTTTTTATAGGGTTTATTCTTTCAAAAGCCTAAATTTTCATTCCTGGTTATATCGATGGGAATGAAAATTCATTCCCATTTTCATTCCCTATTATTCACATCCTCATTTTCATATCCATTTTCATTTCTCTGTCTGAACCAAACGCCCGATACTTGTATTGCTTTTAATTGTTTGGTAATTATAGGTGTTTAAGTCAGCTAAAATGCACCTAGATTAATCTTATTGAACGTTGAAATTAGCACTACAACAAATTATGAAAACTTGAACTAATGAGCTTTGTGATCAAAAACCAACATCTATGTTTTCAGAATTTGTATTTAATAGATATCGTCAACCAATTTATTCTTAACTTGTACACCAAAGATTCCTTACCTTCTTCCATTCATCATCTGACATATTTTAATATGTTTGATTTATTTCCTTTTACATACCTTCTAAAATGATTCTAAAATCTTTCCCTTCGACCACAACACCCCTGAACTCGACTTCTATCAATCCTCTGTTCTTTGATACGACAATCTTCCATGACAATGTTTCATACGTAAACTCATCAAAACCCATAACAGAATTTGGTTTCGGTTTTCAAAAAACCCACCATTTGAAACGAACAAGTTCACAACTGCCATTGGCATTAAGAGGATCGAATGGTGGAGCTAACAAAGCCATGGAAACGGTCCTCAAACTTTACGAAGCAATTAAGAGCAAGGACGTTAACGAAATGTCTGAGATTATCGGACATGATTGTCTTTGCATATGCAATTTTGTCTCCACTTTTCGAACCTTTCGTGGAAAGAAGGTACATATATACATGTCTTCTCGAGAATAAATTATAAGTTCTTTTATCAACATATTTACAATTCTTTATTTCATGGGCCCTATATCTTAGATTACTTTTTTTTTTTTGTGCAAATAGGATCTATGAAATAAAGAAGATTAAATGTATGAAATAGCAACATACTTTCATAAATTTTCCTATATAGCAACATACTTTCATAAATATTCTTATTACAGTAATGTACTTTTAAATTATTTTTTATTAGAGCATCGTATTTTTAAAAATCTACCCATTATAGCAATGAGTAATTTGTTACCTTTTAAACAAGTTAACCACTTGCCTTTTTTTGCTTGTTCGACTTTAATGAGATGATGTGGATGATACATCATTTTGATGACTTAACTAAAAAAAAATAAAAAAAAACCTATTTCAAATTGTTACTAGTGATTTTCATTTTTCATTGCTATGATTTAAAAAAATATTTAATTTCTTTGACTTTTTATTATTAAATTGCATTCAAATTAAATATTCTAGAGTAAAATATTTATTAAATAAATATGATACATTATTTTCGAGATATATTTTATTTGTAAAAAATGTAACATTTCTTATTTTATGTTGTCAAAACAATAAATATATTTAAAGTTCTCTTTAAAATGTTAGCGAGATAAATTGTGATCTACAATTATTTAATATTGTTATATAATTAATAATTCAAAAAAATCTAATTAATTTAATATATTTATACGTTAAGTAAAAGTTTGTAAACAAATATAATATATTCTTTAAAAGATAATATTTTTTTGGTAAAAAAAAATAATTATTATTTCTTTTTTCCAATATATATATATATAGTTTTAAAAATATTAGGGATATAAATTGTGTTATACTAGTTTCATTAATATTGAGATATTAATGAACAATTTAGAATATTTTAAAATTATGAAAGTAGATTGTTATTTTGTGCATTTTTCCCAAAAAAAAAATATTAAACAGTAACTACATTTTAAATCGGCCTAAAAGAAAGCAAAGATTTATTACCATTTGTGGAACTAACTAACAGTTTTTTTCCCGAGCAGCAAGTAATGGAATTCTTCTCTTCGCTAAGGGGTAACTTGGGAAATAATTTCGAGTTCGTGGTACAACCCACGTTGCACGACGGAATGACGGTCGGGGTATCTTGGAAACTAGGTTTTTTTCCGTTCTCCAACTTCTTTTAACGATTCTTGGATCTATTGTCGTTGTATTTTAGAAAATAAACGAAGTTGTATTCATATATGTTTTAAGGAAATTGTGGTAATATTGCAGAATGCAGCAAGACCCATAAACCTTTAGGAAAGGGTTTTAGTTTCCACATGTGTCATATGTATCAAGGGAAGGTACTTATAAGGTAACTTCACAGCTTATAATGCAATTATTAATCCCAATTACCAAATAAAATCGACTCTAATCTTTCTACAGGAATGTAGAGATGTTTGTGGAGCCGCTTTTGCACATTGAACCCTTTGGATTGGTGAGTTTAAAACCGACCATATGTCAATGGATACAACATTACAGATATATCTAATGTTATTATTATTTCGGATCTTATTTTCTACCGAGAAATACTTATATACCGAGGCTCGATCTAGTAACAGACTGCTATTGTTACCTTATACCATACTTTCTTGAGGGATATCTTGTGGTTTAGTAACATAGACTATTATCATGCATGCTCATGTCCAGTTGTTGATTTTTAGAGGTTTCCATCGGAACTACCGTATCTTCTAGCCAGAATATGCCATTAGAGAATCTAAAATGCTGCTTGTTGCCAAACTTCTTGGAAATCTTGTTGGCAAGATGGGATATCGTGAAAAATCCCATGCAATGAAAAACCCTTTTTGCTTGTGTAGTTGCAAGCCAAGTTTTTCATGTGGGTCCCACCTTTTCTTTTTAAAGTTAAGTGAAAAAGCTCCGCCATTACTTTGCAAAGTTAACTTTTTTTTTTAAGTTAAGTGAACTACATCTTAGTTCATTGGTTTGCAAAGACATGTACAATCCTTACAACGAAACCGCAAGAACAAGCTGTGTTACCGACACATCCCAACCTCTTTGGAGGTTAAGGATTCTAGTTTCATCAAAGGTGCAAAGTGTGTGAGCTTTTCCATATATAAATATGACATACTTAAAAACCCCAGAAGAATAATGGTTACAATCAATTATTTTAGCATACTTTGGTGTTCCTTTCTACATTGTAACATGTATAAAAAGTGTGACCCTTAAAACTCTGTCTCTATTTTGGTAGAAAATAGCGGCATTTGTTGCAAGCTTGACAGGACAACTGGTTTCCCAGGCAATACTCAAGGGTGATAAGAAAAAAGCTGCTTATTATTTCTTCAGCCTAGTTGCATTGGCAATACTCTTCATCGTTGTAAGGGCTTTATAGAAGTTAGCTACATCTGAATGGGTGATAACGAAAAGTCCCATGCCAAAATCCAGTGTAGATCCTACGTTCACATCTAACTTTACGTTGATTAATGTTGGGTTCAAGTCATTGTGCGTAATGTTGTATTCAAGCTTAAGTTTTTCTATTGTATTTTGTAAGTATAAATAGTATTTTCTGTTTTGTAATCAGTAGCTAAGCAAATTAGATTCAGATTTTCACTTGTAATCTACCTACACTTTGAAGCTAATACAAAAAGTCATTTGGAAATTCTGTTTGTTCTTCTTATCGTTCTTACTGCAATCGGCCATTGATCTTGATTTAGTTTTGAACAATTGATTAATCTTTATGGGTATAACAATTGGTATCAGAGCAAATTGCAGTGACTTTGGATTGAATTGAACTGAAAATTTGAATTGAATTGGGAAATTTTTGGACTATTCTAGATCGGACTGTGTTTTTGCTACTATTTCTATTCATTCTACTCAATTCTTCATTTTTGTATGGATTAAAATGTTTGATTGTGTGAATTTTATACGATTCTTTATTGGAAACTAATCTGAATCATTCAATTTTGTACTTGAATTGATTTCTTGATTCAATTATGTAGTTTTGAGTATATGAAGTCTTGAAACTGTTCTTACTAATTTTTGTCAAATTGGTCATTTTGATCGGTTTTTATTTAAATTGGTATTGAAATCCTCTTTGTGGTTAGTTTTTGAATCAACATGTGCATATTTCTTTCAAATTGGTGTTGATTTGAGTATATTGGATTGAATTCTGGAATTTTTGCCTAAGTGTATCTTCATCTCCCGATGAACAAATTCATCAAGCGATAAAAGTCTGTTCATCGCCTGTTGAATACTTTTTGTTGTCCGATTTGTTACTCTTATCGCATACATACTTGGGTGATTTTGATCATCACCTAATTTGATACTTGTATTTTTTGTTCAATACATTCTTGCTAATCGTTCAACTTGTGAGCGATAAGCCTCTGAATCGATCAAAGCATTGTCCGATTAGAAGTGTTACCAAATAAGACTTGTCCGATAAAGCTTGTCAACGGTAAACACTTGTCTGATAAAAAGGTATCTGTTGAGGGTGTTGTCTGATATCCTTTGGTGATCGATAAGGAAGAATTTGATCAAGTGTTGTGACCGATAAGGTGTTATCCGTATAAGGGTTGTGCGCTAAGACTTTGGGCGATAAGAGTTTTTGGGCGATAAGGATAAGATAATGTTGTCCGATATCTTTGAGTATATTTGTGACTTTTCCGATAAGTGATTTTTTGTTGTCGTGATAACAGTTTGATTTTGGGTGAATTTGTCTCAGTCTTGAACTGCAAAAAGATCTAAGATTTAATCTGTTTAAAATGACTTCAAGAGAAGCAATGACTATTGGAACTGATACAAAACCTCCAGTTTTGTATAGAGGAGATTATAATCAATGGAGGGACATATTTCCTAAATTTTATAGAAAGGTAGGAAGATAGAGAAATGGTTATGGAGTCACTGATGGAAGGTCCTACAGAGTTCTGGAAAGAAATACCTTCTATTCCCGAGGAAAATAGGCCAACTGAGATAGTTCCTAAGGAGAAGTCTAGATATACACAGGCTGAAAAGAAGAGAGCTCATGCTAATGTAGTATGTAAGTCATATATGATGCAAGCATTGACCAATGAGATTTACACCAATATTGATATTTATAAAAAGTCCTGGAAGAGCATGTGGGATCAAATAGAATATATGATGATGGGTTCAAAAGTTGGAACTCAATTGAAAGTGATAAATTGTATAATTAGATATGAAGAGTTGAAGGCTAGAGAATGAGAAAGTTTAGATGATGTATATGAGAGACTGACCAGACTGTTGAATGAGCTGATTAAGAATGATATTAATAAGACTAGTATTGAAGTGAATGTTAAGTTTCTGAGCAACCTACAGCCTGAATGGAAATCGTTTGCCAACAATATCAGACATAACAAGTCTTTATCTCATATTGATATTCATGAAGTGTATGAGACTCTAAAACAGAATGAGGAAGAAGTTTTGGAGTTGAGAGAAGCATAGAAAAAGATTGAGAAGGATGTGAGTGATCCTTTGGCATTGGTTTATGAGAAGAGAAACAGATCTAAATCTGGAAAGTCAGTGAAAGAGGTAATTGTGTCAAGTGAGTCTTTTGTTGAAGAAAGTATAGATAGTGACTCAGATTCTGAAATGAAAGAAATTAAACAAGCCATGGTCATGCTGACTAGAGCATTCCAACAGTCATAGGTTTTCATCTGGCATCAAGTATGAGTAAAAAGACAAGTATGGTGAGAAAAAGAGATATCAAGAGAAAAGTTTTGAAAAGAAGAATGATGATAAGAAGAAGTTTGTAAAGGGTGTTGCGAATGAGAACACAAAGTGCTACAACTTTGGAAAGAAGGGACATTTTGCTGTTAACTGTAGGAAGCCAGTGTTAAAGAAGAGTGACTACTACACAAATAAATTTCTATGTCCAAGCAAAAAGGATGCTGGTAAAGCTCTTATGATTGAAGACGATCATTGGCTTAGTCTAACTGATGAAGAGGAAGAAGTGGAGGTTGTGGCTCATATCTGCTTAAGGGCAAGGACTAAATCTGAAATATCTGAAAATAAGGAAGAAGGATCAGATTCAAGTGCTGAGGTACTTGAGTCTTCTTCCATTGAACATATGCATATAATGATGCTTAAACTGCAAGATTTTCAACAAAAAACTTAAAACTGAAAAAGATCGAGTTGCCATTTTAGAAAAAGATCTTAAAAAGCAACAGAATAAATATGTTGAGCTTAATAATGAAAATGTTGAAAACTTTGCTTGGGATCAATCTTTGCTATCTGAAAATAAAAAGTTTTCGGAGCAAAAAGATATCTTGTCTGAAGAATTATCTGCTAAACATAAGTCATTAGAGTTAACTAATGACGAATTGATTGTTAAAAACAACACTATTGAGTTACAAAATAAACGTTTAAATGAAAAACTCAAAGATCTTGAAGAGAAGCTGCATAAGAGAGGTCAAACGGATCAAACTATTTTTTCTAAATAAACCAATTAAAACTAGATTTTTTAATCCAAGGGTAGGATTGGGTTACAAAAATCCGAATTGTCTAAAGAGAGCTCTTTATTTTTCTCCAACAATTTACAAATTTGAATATCATGACCTCGGTCCGGAATATCAAATTAAATTCATGAAATCATCAGATGAAGTTGAACAACAAGAAGATTTTTAACAGAAAAAGAAATGACAAAATGCAAGTTTCTTATAATTACAATGAGTTAAATGAAATTTATGAAAACAGAGTTCTTGCACTTTCGACAGATTATTTTCACAGTTATTCTAAAGTAGAACTCAATTAAAAACCAGTTGAACTAAAGCTTTATACTCCTACCTTAATTTTGGAAAAACAAATTGTTCAATTGGAAAATATTCTAAATGAAGAAAGACTTTCATTTCAAAAAGAAAAATAAATCTTATTGAATAAAATTCAAGATTTTGAAAAGATTGAAAAGGAAGAGGAACATGTTGAGTCTAAAGCTTCTTCCTATAAAGCTTTTATGGGAAATTTATGTACAAAAACTGGTGAAGTGTCTGAATCTGATGAGGTCATATTTTCAAAAGAAGAGCTTGATTTTTCTAAAATTCTTAAGTCGGATACGTGTTTAGATGAGCAAATTGATCAATTTAACTTTTCTCAACAACTACCCAGTCATGAAAAAAACTGTAGTAAAAGAAAATTAAAAGAATGAGGAATTTGAAAAGGTTTTTGAATCTAAAAATGAATTTAATTTTGAATGAAAACCTATTTCTGAGAACGTATATTATAAAAAGAATAAAACTAAAAGACTTTCTAGGAAACAGAAGAAGGATGTTGATAAAAATCTGAAACATAAAGTTTGTCATGAAAATATATCTGACGATTTTGTTTCTGATGTTTCAGATAATTCCTTGAAGAGCAAGTTTATCTGGAGAGTGAAAGGATCTACTTCTGTAGAGTGTGCAAAGTCATATGATTTACATAGGTAGAACGATTTTGCTAAATCTGTAAAGAAAAATTCTTTAAATGTTAAAAAGTATTCGTTCAATGAAATAATTGAAAATGCAAAAGGAAAATTTTGTTGTTCTTATTGTGGATGGGATGAGTTTGTGTCTTTTACTGTGTTTAATGCTGTTAATAATGTTTGTTCTTGTGCTTATAATGATATATCTCACATTCAAAAGAAAATTGTTTTGAAAGAGAGTTGGTTTGGGACTTATAGCATACCACCAACCAAAACTAATTAGAAAGGACCCATATTGAAGTGGGTACCTAAAACCAATTGATTCATTGTGTAGGTTAACCGGCATGTGTGATTCTTAGATTCCGGATGCTCAAAACACATGATTGGTAGGAAAGATTTACTTTCTAACTTTGTTGAATCTTTTAGTGGAAATGATCAGTTTTCACCTATCCTTGGATATGGTGACATTAATCATGGAAATTTAATGATTAAGAAAATGTCTTATATCGAAGGACTTGGTCATAATATTTTCAATATAGGTCAATTCTGTGATAAGAATTTAGAGGTTTGTTTCAAATATAACTGATATAGCGTCCGAACTACTGATGGTAAGGAGTTATTAGCCGGAACCAGAAAGTCAAATCTTCACAATTTACTTATCAAATCTTCAAGTGGATACTGATGTCTGCTTGATGTCTAAGGCTTCTTTGCAAGAAAATTTGTTGTGGCATAAACGGCTTTCGCATCTTAATTTCAAGAACCTGAACAAGTTGGTAACATATGGTTTGGTGAAAGGTCTACCTGATCTAAAATTTTATAAAGACCATGTGTGTGCATCATGTGAAATGGGTAAGATGAAAAGGGCTTCTCATACGTCCAAAGTTGAATTCAATACTGAACATCCTCTACAACTATTACATATGGATCTCCATGATCCGATGTATGTGCAGAGTATCAACAGTTAGTGATATGTGTTAGTCATT